ATCGTGAAAAGTTCTAGATGGTGAAAAATGAACTTTACACTTTCCAATATGATATGAGAAATGAGTGTACATGTATATATAAAAGCAAAGAAGTAATCTAGTTCTAGATGGTGAAAAATGAACTTTACACTTTCCTTAAACATCACTTCAATTAAAAGCTAAGCAGTAACCTCTTTGAAATGTGTAATTTTGTTTAATTAAGCTGTATAAAGAAAATTGGTTAGAATAAACATAAGCAATATCTATTTTGCAAAAAACTCTGTGTTTACCCAAAGAGACATTGAACTTAATGCTCCTTACCATCTGTAATTTCTTTTGTTTATCTAAAACCTAACAGAAGGCCATTAAACTCTTTTCTACAATATGTCTTCCGTTTAATTTTGCATCAAGGAACAAAACTTCATTAGGTCAGAGGAACTCTTATGTCAGGAAAACACAATTAGTGATAAAAGAATATCTATATCTGATGTCAACCTTCTCAAACATCCCTCTAATTCAGGTCTTCTGGTCCCAATTATTTTATAACTTCGTCTGATAGTAAAACCGTTTTGGTTGCGGAGGCATCACCACCGCCATCGTGTCACGATATTGGTAGGGCACCGCCTGCTGGTTCCCATCTTTGTTCTGTGTGTCTCACACAAACATTAAATTCCAGCTCCTGGGGATTATTTTCCCACAGACCATTGTTCTACAGCAAAAACTACCAAATTAATTGTTTAATACTATCTTAATACAATTAATTTCATGTTTTCCCACAATAACCATCCCCTGCACATTGCTTGCGGAGGTTAATTAATGCGCCACCCTTGTTTGATGAAAAGCCAATGCTTATTTAGAGATGTGTGGATAGCACTTCAAAAGATCCGAGTAAACTGAATGTTGTGTTTTATGACGAGTGCTGTGTGATACTTATCAACAATGGTGGATTGTTTACCATAGAGTGGTATAGTATACCAGATGTAGATGTTGGTGGCTGGTGGGTAACAAATCAATCTCCTCTTTATACTAACAACCACATTGTTATGGAACTTTCAGCAGCTACTTAAACATCGCAAAAATCTGGCACTCTGAACAGGCTTCTTTAAAATCCTTTGAACATAATTTTTCTTTTTCTTTCATTTCCCATTAAATAATCTTTGATTTGTAAATTAATTGACCTTCTACCTTAGTTCAATTAAAGGGATTTTTCTGTACTTGTTAACATTTCTTTTAAAAGGACAAAATGTGTGGTGGATATGTATTAACATCTCTATGTAATTTTAAAATGCAATATATCAAATGATGTTTTAAAGAAAGTTTTTTGAAAACAAAAGTCATGAGCTGTCTACACTTCAGCCATATTTTCATAATTTTGTGATATTTAAAAAAAAAATGGAATCTGTACAAATCAAAAGTTTTGCTAGATATCTTTCATACAGAAGGTAATTACTGTTACCTAAGAATGTACAATCCACTTTCTAACCCACGACCTTTGACCCTTTTGACCACTTTGTCATACCTGTGTCATGTTTATTGGTAAGCACATTAGGTGTTGAGAACCATCCAGGTAAGTACCTAAACAGGAAGTGATCACAGTACAATGGGGAGGTGTCCAGTAAACATAGGGGCGTGACACAGTACCAGGAAGTGACCACAGTACTGTTGGGAGGAGCCCCAGTAAACATAGGGGCGTGACATTGTATAATATTGTTATGGGGTCAGTTTCCTGTCTAAATAGTACAACATTAAGACTGACCCCAGGCTAACACAGATTGGTCAATCTTACCTGTCTGTGACCTAAGGCTCATCCAAATTAGTCAATAAATACCTGTCTGTCATAAAAAAGTAAACTTGTCAAATTGTAAAACTATTTATGCTGTAGAATGTGGCTCCAATCCAGGATTCCCCTCTCGCTTTACACTTCTATGCAATTCCAAATGACCTTTTAAACAAATGACATTTCAACCAATGACCTTTTCCTAGTATTCAGCCTTAATCAAATTTGGTAACTGAAACTGTTTGAAGTCTCTTCAGTCTAATTTCTAATCAAGTTTTAACTCTTAACATTTAAAATATATCTCAAAACTAATCCAAATTCTCAAAAAAGTTGTCACAATGACAAAATTCAATTTTCTCTTTTAGGGGAAAAATAATGCAACACCTCCGAAACTAAAGGATAAATGGACATGAAGAAATGAAGGCCAATCAACAGCCTTTTGTGTATGTCTCTATTGCTGTAATAGTATCACTGGCTGTCACTAACACACTGTAGCTAATGGAAAAGAATGACCCATCACTCCAACCTGTCTCATCACTGATGAACATGTCAAATGTGTGAACGCATTACAGACATAATGAACGACTGGATAGATTTCTCCGGTCTCATTACCACGGCTGACAACAAATCTTATATAGGAAATACAGAGTGTGATATAAAGGATTGTTTACTGACACAGGGGAAATGACAAGAGTGTGATAGACGGTGTATATAAATGATGAGTGATATGGGGTGGGGGTTGTACAGTTCCCTCTCCCCAGTGAAATGACCGCATATGTTAAAGAAATAATCAGTGATCAGTGATAGAGGTATACAGTTCCCCCTCCCCTGGGAAATGACAGATATCACATATAGGACCGATCAGTAATAGTGATCATAGCCCCTTCCCCAGCACACAACTCATTACACACAAACTCAGGAACCACTGCCGGATCTACTATACACAGATGGCCCTAAACACAATACCTTTCTATCACAGAGGCATTTAATTGTCTGGTGCAGTACAAATATTAGTTATAATGAGGCTGATATTTCCAGAGGGATCATAAATACACATACAACATAACTTTTTATAATAAACATAACAGCTAATTGGTGTGGAGTACATGTATCATTCTAAAGGAAGTTATTTATTGGTCTAAACTTTGGAAAAATCTTTTATTCATATTATTCTTAGCCTCCAGCAAACAGTTATACAGTGTACAGCAGACTTTGGATGTGAATGTTTGTCTTCAAAAGATACAATTCAGAAAAACCCATAAAAGCAAGATACACTGACTTATTTGAGTTTATGCCTCTGTAGGGCACCTTTAATTATGATCTAATGTGATGAAAGTCCACTGATGTACAGAGTTAGGCACCAATAAGGTCCACTGATGTACAGAGTTAGGCACCAATATAAGGTCCACTGATGTACAGAGTTAGGCACCAATTAGTGAAGCAAGCACCTGCTCATATGGTGTTATGTTTTATAGCAACTGGCCATGGGCTGAACTATCATCAATGTGTCCAGTCCACTGGCAAAAGTTCCAAAATAACTCTACAGTACAATTATGAGTCCTCATATCTATCAAAACACCACAAATTATTGTAGATTCTCATAGTAGTAAAACTATGTAATGAAAATCTCCAAACTTCCTATTTCACATTTGACAGCAGTATAGTATTTCTGATGCATATGTCCTCATGTCCAGGCACAGACATGACCCCTAAAGCTTGTACTGTGTAATATCAAACAGATACCTTACAGATACAGGGGAGATGTCTGTGTTTGAAGTGAGATACTGACCCATGATAGGGATCTAACAGGGCCCCTGGGACCTCAGATGTAAGCTGTAGCCCTAATCTTGTTAGTAGACTACAGTGTCCAGGGACCCAGCACCCCTAAGGGACACACCACTTCCCCAATAACTTTAGTAACCAATGCAGCTGATTCCTCTAATGAGATCAAACTAGCATTTCTTTAATTAAGATTATATTCCTGGAGATTTTGATGGCGTCTGGGGATCGTTGACACTGGGTACAAACCACTCCTGGGGATATCCATACTAAATTGGTGATACTCTTATATTTACCAATAAAGCTTTAGGGAGATTTATCCAGGATTTAGTCAAATATAAATGAATTAAATTTTAATAACTTTTAAACCATTTCCTTGTGTGTTTACAGATCTATGACGTTTTGATAAAAAAGCAAAGTTTTAAGAAAGGTTGAGTCTACAGATCAAGGTCCTGACACATAACGATGACTTTTCCATACACACATAATATACATGTAAACAAGCACTAACTCAACACTGTAACACCTAATGGTATAACTACTTCCTAATTCTGTCAGTAGACCCACATTACTCTTATCTATCACATTCCATCATCAAAGGTTTAGAGAGAGCACCCTCCAGATGACTTTAGTAGAGCCATCGTAAATCAGAACTCCAGCCCATTACCGGGTGGTGAGAAGTATATTAACGAATATTAAATCATCGCCAAATTTTCAATAATTTGCATTTCAAAAAGGTCCTTCGTAGTAATTTTGTTTGTTAGCTTTTCCATCCAAAACATGGTGTATTGGTTGGTGCCCAGGGAAACCGCAGGCATCTCTGTGTTCACAGCTAGATTATATATATCGTATTGTTATCCTATCTAATAGCTGTCAAATGTCACACGTCCATGGTCCCACTGGAACCTCCTCCCAGGCTGTGAATTTGTGTTTTTTTCATCGTTAGTTTGATTTTTTTTTTTTTCGTTTCCTTCTTTTATAAGAAATTGAATATAATTGATTATTGATATATAAAATAATATGAGTTGTGAATGGAAAAAACCCACCTAAGGAATGAGGACATTGCGAGAGGTGAAGGAGTTAGTCAGCTTGTATATATATATATCTACGTGACAACATAATACATGTGGCATATTTCTACATTTTTGTGTGACAATTTGGACTTCAAAACAGTTTGTGATGTGTGTGCAGTGACATTATAGCCAAAGGAGTCAGTTACATGTGTTAGTCTGTTGTCCTTGTCTCTATCAACCAAACCAAATAACAGAAATTAAAACAATAAAAACAACTTCCCAATGGGGATTACTTTCACAGTGATTTTTTTTATGCTTTTTCTTCAAAAGAAGTTTTTTCTTGGCTTAGAGATGACACATTTACACACTGTTTTGAACAAACAATTTTATTAAAATCTTAATGAATTTAAGCAATTTGATGTGAATATAAAGGAAATATTTTTGGTTCTTACCTGTAGTCGAGTAGTCGTTCCAGCAGGCTGGTAACGGACAGTATGAACTCGCTGCCATTCTCTTGCAGTGTTGGGTCTGCTTGCACTTTGTCCAAAAGTCTGGAGAAAAATTTCACCATCTTGTTAATAGATCCTCTGTGTTTTCACTCATATAACATAAAGATCTCATCATTGTGTTTTTTCACCGAGATGTCAACGAAAATACCTTCACTAAGATTCTACATAGAACACCATATCATTACCGTACATTTAAACTTAGTATTGTAATTCCTTCATGCGAATAATATGCATCATTTTTGTACCGCAGCACACGGAACTTAAATTCTATAACTGTAAGTACGATGCACTCCAGACTCAGGTTTTCATGAACTCGTGTGGGATCGGAAACATCAAAGTAAATTCTCCTCTCCGCCAGTGGCTTTTGTAGTAAACAAGTTCATCTCTCCAACACGTGAAGTCTACACTGACAAAAACTGACAAAAACTCCCAGTTCACTTAACTTTACAGCAGCAATCCGAGCCAACCTCGTCCATCAACACATATTAGAGTAAACTATTTCATAAATAGATTATTGGAAACACATATGCTTAACAGTTAACCTTCCCCACAAATGTACTGCCACTTTTTGCATAAATACCGGACTTCCGGATAAACACAAAACTTTGGTGCTTAGCAGAAACAATTTTTAATATCCACAACACGAATTTCATCAATCCATCAGGAAGACCAACATTTGCTAAATTGTATAATACAAGAATAGCTCATTGGCAGCTCTGAGTGAGCGCTGGTTGGTGAGAATTGGTTTCCATGTAAACACTGCAGGCACAGCTGATGCTCTAACACCAGTATAGTTTCCAGTGGCCAAAAACATGAAATTAATAAAAAAAAACAAAAAAACCCAAGACCAGCACACTGTTGTTGTGATAGAATAAATCCCAGGGTAAGCTTAGGTGTGACTGGCTGAGGGACACATGTTGCCTGTTCAGTGGAGTACAGTGGACTAATTTTTTAAGTCCCTGTGTAGGCCCTGGGGGAGGTGGTGTTGGTGTGGTGTGGGGTGCTTGCCTCTAGTGACAGGGGGAACCCTACTGTGTACACTGTATCACACACCAGCCAAACTTAGCACTCCACTTTTTTCTGTCAGTTTAATTTCACTTTTACAGCACTAGATTTCTCTAGCAGACTTTTAATCGTAATAGCTTGGAACTAAAATGAATCTACTGGAAGGTGATCATCTTATTTCCTGTATGGGCACATTTGTAACTAATTAACTGGATGTAGCAGAATAAAGCTTGGCAATGGCTTAATTGGTACTGGCGGGTACACTACATTTATAGGGTTTGTGTGCTAACACAGGGTAGGGCCAGTAATAATATGGAATGGTTAAAATTAAATGTCCAAATGTCTGACCACAGCTATGTAGAGATGACCCTAGCGGTCAATGAACATGTCGGTGATACCTGATACTGCTATAGAACTGCTTTATGTACCAATGATCAAAGCCAACAGTCATACCCTATCTCCACACAAATCACTTACTGGCCAGTCAAAACTCAGACACACAAATGTGTGATTACTCCAATGAAGTCATTCAGCAATTCATTGAATATTGATGAGAGTTTTGCTGACTTTCACAATTCCCTGAAAGTTGTAGAAAACTGCTTTGAACCATTCCTGGAAGGTTGTAAAGAATTCCTTTTCAACCATTCTTTCAACACTATAGAAAATTTCTTTTCAACCATTCCTTCAACACCATAGAGAATTGCTTTTCAACTACTCATGAAACATTGTAGAGAATTACTTTTCAACCATTCCCTGAATACTGTAGAGAATCACCATTAAACTATTCCTTGACTGTTGTAGAAAATTTCTTTTTTTCCCATAATGTTGTAGAAAATGACTTTTCAACCAGAGATTTAACTTTCAACCATTCCTTCGATGTTATAGAGATATAACCTCCAACCATTCCTTCCATGTTATAGAGATTTAACTTTCAACCATTCCTTGAAAGCTGTCGAGGATTACCTTTCAGATTGTTGAGAACAGCATATTTTTCAATCAGTCTTTGAAAGTTGTAGAGAATAAATTACAGTTCATCAATGTTTTTTCATCCCATAACAACACAGAGAAATAACCTCATAAAACCGCAGACGACTGTTTACACAGTCAAAACCTCTCCACCAGTCAACACATCAGAACTGAAAGTGAACCTGCTGAATGTTAGCGTAAGTACTCCCACAATGACCGTAGGAAACAATATTAACATTAAACTCTGCACCGCCTGAATATTACCCATGTGAAGATGTGCTGCAGAAAATGATTTAACTTTTAACATTTACAGCCATCAGACAGATAGTGACATTGCCAGTAAGGTACAGACATGTAGACGATGACTATGTATCACTGTACTGTTATACACCCATACCAGGACACGGATCAATTCACCAGAGCTGGCTCAATGGTTTACAACTGACCAATAATGACCAATCCAAAAGTCAAATAGAGTTTTACAAATGACCATGCAGTTCTCTGACCTTGGAAGAGTCCAAGACATGTAAATTATCCTGGTATTAAATAGAGTATTGGGATGATGGTAGCAGCGGCGAAAGAATGTACAATTCTCTATTAAGACATTCAAATGAACTGAGGTAAATTATGGACAGCACAGACACAACATCACTAACGTATTTCTTCTCTGATTTTCTTAGTTCCTCTCCCTTTTAGAACATTTGGAGAAACAATTCCAATCAAATAAAGTGAGAAGTTTTCTTTTGTCTAAATGATGTCATCTTGAGAACTAATGTATGCAATTATGTCCTACATTAATTAATATATGTGTTATTTTGTAATCTACCTCTATGTTTTGCGTTATGCTATTGACCTATATATGCAGTCATTTTTCTGTAAGATACAGGCATTGAGGAACAAACCTCTTAGTGTCCATTTCCACAAAGAAGACCCCCCCCCC